TTTGTACCCCCAAAGTTGTTGGTGTATAATTCAAGTTATACATAGTATATAATCCACATCTAAAATAAATTAAATAAATTACATTACTGATTATTCAGTGTTTATCGTAAAATAATATTTTTTTTAAAATTTCACGTATCCCCTAAGGTGTCTTCGCGTACCCCAGGTTGAATACCACTAGTCTAGCCCACTTGGGATCGACTTAAGCCTAGGCCAGCTAATGCAGTCGCGGTCCTTCAGGATTTGTGCGATAATGAGCCTAAAACGATTTTTATATTCGTGATATCAGAGGATTTCACTTAAGTCCGTACAAATTTTGTCTTTTAGCACAAACGAGGGGGGTTAAATTGTATAAATAATAAATAATATTTTATTTCCAGCGTACAGTACCGATTAAAAACTTGTACTTTTTTGGGTAAGGGGGAGGGGTCGTTAGTCCCGTAAACATGGACGCAGATCTCGCCTGTACTTGGAACTGATAATCCGGACCAAATCTTCACGCGTGATTTATTTTGTTACGTTGTTAACTACTGACGTAAAACGTCCAGTGAGTTACAGTAAGATCATAAATTTACGATGACCGTGGGAGAAAGTTGTTATGGCCTCTTAACCAGGAATTAGCTTCAGGGGCTTAAAAAGATGATTAATTTAGGTTCTCAGCCAACGAACCGCGTGCCCCCACGAACATTAACGAGTCGTGTTATGAAATGCGTCATTCTGTTGGATGCTAGTGGGACTGTTTATTGTATCCTTCCGCGATAAAATTTGTGTGATGCAAGTTGCATCAGTACTCAAGGCGCGGTGTCGAACATTGGCAAAGCGACATGATATTGCAGGACTGTATGATCTTTGAAAGATTGCCAATGAATTAGGAGACGATCCTTGGCACAAAACAGTAAGAATAACTAATACAGTAAAACCTCTCTAACTTGGACACCAGCGGTTCCACGATAATGTGTCCAACTTACAGGGGTGTCCAGGATAGAGGGAAAGGGGGAAAATCATCCTTTCAAATTGTCGTGTAATAACAATGTGGTAATTGTAAAGTATTATGGAGCCCTTCACAAAAAGGAAATTATTGATAAGAAAAATCAAAAGGGTAAATTAAATTTTTACAAATTTTGTTTTCACTAAATTAAACTTGCATGGATAAGCTCAAAAAAGAGACAGGGTTCGTGATACCATTCGATAAGGGTCAAAGTTTATTGTTATCCGTAACAGGAATGAGCAGGAATCCATTCCCCATGTTCTTCATATGTTCAAGACAGGTTCAAGAAGTGGTGTCTGTCATAACAAATAAACTATTGGATATACGATGTGCAGGCTGTGTTGTTTGCAACAGTCCAGTACTACGTTATAAACAAGCAAAAATTAATCGTCTGCATTATCATCCACATTTTTACCATATTATTTGTGTTGCATTGGCGAAGACAGCTCGAAGTTGAGTTTTTAACGTAAAATGGAATTAAACAGTTATCTTCAAGCCATCTGTAGTTAAGATCCAATATTTCAAAGAGAAACACAAAATGAGTTAGAGACACAACACAGAACATAGTAGAAATAAGGACAATATAACTTTTGAATAAATAGTTAAGTTGCTGAATTGTTTCAAAAATGGGCAGTTACAACAATCTAAAATCATTCCCCTCATTCTCGGACGTGAACAAAGGAAGAAAAATAAATAAATGCGAAGATTTAAA